CAACAGAGGCCTCCCGCCACCCCCGGGAGTGGGGTGATCCCGCTGCCCCGGGAACGGGCCGGGGGGCCCCAGCTGTCCCGGGCCTACGGGGAGTGTGTTCATGCTCCTGCACGCACGCTGGGACACGCGGGGGGAGGTCCTAGCCGAGGGCAACAGGCAGCCTGGCCCCAGCTCGAAGCTCTGTCCCATACCCGCCGCCTCGCTGCCTCCCTCGGCGGTATCAGACCTCCTGCTCCCCTCACCTGCGGGGCCAGCCACCGGCTGCCCGACCTGCAGGAAGATAAAATCATAGCAAATCAAACAGGGTTTTCTTATCGTCTAGATTTATTGAAAACAAATGGGCTGGAAGCTCAGCACCTCCTGCTGAGGGGCCAGGCCAGCAGGTTTTGTCAGGAGCTTCTCCTTCGCAGTGCTTGGGTGTCTTTGGCCTCCTTGCATGGTGAGCGGAGGCATTTGGGTGCTGCTCTGATTTTGTACTTGGTTAGGGAATAGAAGAGCAGGAATCTGAGGTGCAAGCTGGCAGTGCCTTCTGGGCCCCACTGCATCTATCAGACACAGGTAGGAATGGGGCTATTTTGGAGCCAGCCGTCTTCTGTAGCGCAGACCAGTCCTCGCAGTACCAGGGATGAAGCCTGGCCCCAATGAACTTCCGCAACCTGCAGGCCTGGCATGTTGGTGGTGTTGTGCCCCCCACCCCCCTTGCCCTGTGCTGGTGGGCATTCTGCATGTTCTGTTGGCTCCTTGGGAGCTGCTAGTGCTGCTCGACCCCTGTCACAGCCCCAGCCCTGCTATCTCTGCTGCAAAGGTCTGCAAGCCCTGCAAAAGCCTCTGCTGGCCCCAGCCAGCCTTGCCCTGGTAGGAGTTCCCCCCACCAACCTCATGCAGCACAGCTATCTGCCTGCCCGCAGAAACGTCTGTTTCTGCTGCCAGTTGGCCTCTGTCCATGCACAGCTTGGCAGCCTCTTAAGCTTCCTGCCAGTGAAGTTGCAGCAACTTGGGATCTCTCCTGCCAGTTCAGAGATACCAGCCAGCAAACTGACAGGGTTAGAGGCCACAGCCAGGCAGTCACTGGCCTGCAAGCTCAGTGGAGAGAAGATATGGCATTCAGAGAGGCCAGGGTGGCAGTGCTTAGCCCTGGGGCAGCAGGGAGAATCCGTATGTGACTGCTGTGAGCCTGGGCTCCTGGGGTCTGTAGGTACCTTCTCTGCTCTTGATGCTGCCCGCTGCCCTGTTTACAGGAGATGGGGACCCTCAGAACATTTCCCTGGCAGGGCATGGGCGACCCCCTTCTTCAAATGTGGTAGTGCTTAGAGCAAATATGCTAGGATCAGAGCCCTCCACTCCTTTTCCCCAGCTGTGCTCCACCCCACTCTTGCTGGGTGATGACTTCTGTTCCAGGCTGTTGAAGTGATTCTTGCAAATCCGTTCTGTTGTAAACACTGTTTTCAAAAAGGTTTATGGAAGGATGCAACCTTTTTGGCCCAAAAAGGAATAGCAAACAATTCCTGCTTCTTCTGTTCAGGTGTGAGCCAAACCCCACCGGAGACAACAGAATGCAAAGCCATCTAGAAGCTGCTGCTCAACCTTCCAGTGCCCACCACAGTGGGCACCTCCCCCTGTGTGGGGACCTTCAAACTTGGCAGATTTGCCAGAGCATGACCCACCTCTCTGGGAGGCCACAGCACTGCTAACCCTCTGCCGTACAGGCATATGTTACCTGAGAGGTTCAGCCAGGTGGGAGCAGGTAGCTCTGCCATGCAGGATGGCACCAGACTCCCCAGACACTGTGGGTACTGCCCGCAGTGGTGCCAGGACTGTCACTGCAGGTGTAGTCCCGTGCCCAGAGGCACAGCAGGGCTCTTACTGCTTGCTGCCAGGCTGTTAAGCACTGTCACAGCAGTTGTCCAGACAGCGCCCAGCCTCTTCATTGCGGTGAGGGACTGGGCAGTTGCTGTAGCCCTCTGCCATCCTGTGGCTGGTTTGTGCTCTACTACAGGTGGGCACTTGGTTCCTGGCCAGGGGCCTCTGAGCTGCCATACAGCTGCCACACACTTGCACTTGCAAACCCAGTCATTCTTGACTCCCTGGTAAGACATCAAGCCTGCATCCTTTCCAGCAGCTGTGCCCATCACAGCAGTTCCAGAAGGCTGTAAACTGCAGGAGAAGACTCAGGTATCACCTCCAGCCCTGCATGACATGCAGTGGCAGCACTGCCAGCCCAGCCTGATCCCAAGGAGTTGGGGGTCAGTCTGGTTGGGGATACCCACCCTATTCCTCATTGTGCCCTGGGGCAAAATACCTTCATCTGGGCAGGTGCAGCATCTATATACATGCACACACAGAGCAGGGTCCACTTATAACCTAGGCACAGCAGTTGTCTCAGCAGAGCATCTATCCCAAAATGTGCCCATATCCTTCCCTCCCATCCTAGGAGCAATGCCTGTCTCTATGCTGCACTGACACTGAAGCAACATCCCAGTCTGAAGGGGCTGGAAAGCCTGGCCACAGTTAACAACTGGGGTGGGACTGTATCTGGTCAGCCTGAGCTGCATGTAGGCTACAGTTCTGCCAGACCAGGACCAGCAGCATGAGGTCCTGGTGGGCTGTCTGGCATCTCTTGCTTTCCCCATGGCCTCTCAGAGGCTGGGGAGATTGCTCATCATGCTGGAGTTGCTGGAGAGAGGTGCTCTGGGCCGGGTGTTCAGTGCTACAGAGCTGCGGAAGCTTTCCCGGTAGCGCAGGGAGCTCTCTGTGGATGAGCCAGAGTTGATGTCTGTGATGACCAAGCAGTTTCCAGGCTTGCAAAGCCCAACCCTGATGCAGCAGCAGCACAGCAGGCTTCCCACAGCACGGCGCACTTCCACACTCCGGAGGGAGTAAATGATGGGGTTAACGCCTGAGTTAAGCATGGCGAGAGCCAAGGTCCAGTCCAGGCTGTGGAGGTGTGTGCAGGTCTGGGTCTCACAGAAGACGTCAAAGAGCAACAGGACGAAGAGGGGGCTCCAGCAGATAATGAAGGCACCCAGGATCATCAGCACAGTCTTGAGCAAGCGCAGGGACCGCTTGCGGCTGTGCCGAGAACTGGTTTGCTTAGAACTGGCCTGGACCAGCTGGAAGATGGAGATGTAGAGGCCGATGATCCCCAGAAGGATGATGCTGAACATGACTACAGAGAAAAGGATGTAGTTCTTGGAGTAGAGAGGCAGAAGGACAGAGCAGGCATTGAAGTTGCACAGGCAGTTCCAGCCCAGCAGTGGAAGCAGTCCAATGATAAAGGCCAGCAGCCAGCAGGCAATGATCAGGCTGCGTAAGCGCAGGGTCTTGCTGGCTTCATTCTCAGCAATTGGCCTTACCATGGCACTGTAGCGCTCGATGGCAGTCACGAGCAAACTGAAGGTGGAGGCAGCCAATGCGATGAAGAGGATGCCTTCCCGCAGGAACCAGAGCTGAGGTGAAAGCTGGAAGGTCTTCTTGCCCGAGAGGCAGAGATTAGAAAGGTAGGCAATCCCTGCAAGCAGGTCACTCACAGTGATGCTGGCAATGCAGGAGTAGACCCAGCGGCGGGCTCGCAGACACCGCATGATGGCCATCAGCACAAGCAGGTTCTCCAGGATGATGATGCAGCTGATGATGGCAAAGGTTGTGCGGATGAGACCCATACCCTCATCCCCAGATTGCCGGTTGGTCAGCTTTCCTGTGAAGTTGTAGTGCTGCAGGATGATGTTCACATTCCTCATGGCAGCCAGCTGCAGGCAAGAACTTTTCCTGTCGAGCAGATCAAGTCTGAGCTCAGGATATTGAGCAGAGCCCAGTGGAAGGGGAAAGGAGTGATTCACCAGCCAGCTCAGCTCTGGACCATCCATCTTCTAAGCCTAGGTCAGCAGTCAAGGGATGCACAGTGGAGCAAGGGTTGAGGTGGGGTTTGGAGCAGAGCAGACCCTCTGAGGGCTGGAGACAGCTGTGAGACTCTGCCACACGACTGTCTCTGAGCCCAGCAGCCCTACGCAGCGTGGAGATGAGAGTTAGAGCCCTGTCTGCCAGCCCCACGGCACTGAAAGAGCAAAGGGAGAGGAGGGTGAGGTGTTTTGTAAGTCCAAACATGAGCATGGGCTTCCTGTTGTTTTAATAAAGCTTCCTGTTGTGAGGTAGAATATTGACATAGTTTCTAACATCTGTCATAATTTCTCAGTAAGGGTCTGGCTATTCTCACCTGTGCTGTGGTTGTAAAGGTGGGACATGAATGAAATAATGTCAGGCCCTTCTTTTGAGTCAGGGGAGGCTGGGTTGAGTGGGATAACAACTGCCACCTTGACGAGTAGGGTCTGTAGAGCTGAACAAAGCCAAGTGCTAGTAAGAGCACCCAGACAGCCTGAGACACGAAGCGCTTTGCCTTTTGTGGTGTTAAATTCACCCTTGAGCCTGGCAGAGAGCAACTGCTTCTTCACCAACTGCCCTGTGCACCACCCATGCCCAGATAATCCCTCTCAAGGAGGAAGCTCCGTGCTCTCACCCCTCTGGGCTCCTCTGTGGGCCCAGCTCCTGCCAGTCTCTCAGGACACACCATCCCAGTCCTGCCCCGTCAGTGCAGCGAGCCCAGGCACCCGTGCGCCTGAAGCGAGGGCTCAGCTCCACCCGGTTCAAAGGAAGCCATGTCAAAGCCCTGCATGTGCCCTGACACTGCACCCTCCACCTTCAGCTCTCCAAGCACAGGCCAGAGGTGGGCCAGGCTCTTCCCGTTGTCTAGGTCACAGACAGGGAAACAGGCGCAAAGCTGCTGCCTCCTGCCTGGTATCGCAGACTGGCATCGCAGGAGGCACAAGGGGCTGCAGTGGGACCAGACGCAGGAGTCCCGAGATGATTGTAGTGCTAATGTCTGTGATTGACCTATTCCCGGCATCCGCAAAACTTCACTGGAGAGAAAGTCTTGCAACGTGCTACTCCCAACCGCGGCTGCTGAACTTGCCTTATGACTCACCTGTCATGACTGGCCCGAGGCTCTTGCTGCCC